AAAAAAAAAAAAACAATTTATATATTCTTTAAATTTACACATTCTTTCAAAAATGGGAGAAAAAAACTATTACAAAAAATAGCATTTAAAAGAAATGAATATTTTAATCTTCGTTTATTAAACATTGATTCATTAAACATTGAAGATTAAATGATTTGATTTCTTATTAATGAAAATCAATGAAAAATTCAAGAATTTTTTTATTAATAATTATATTTAAATGAAACTTAAACTTTTAATCTTTTACTAATTAAAGTCAATAGAAAGAATTTTTTATTAATGATTATCATCTCTTGATATTTTAACATTTCAGTTAATGTTAACGTATATTTTCATAATTTTTTTTAATCAATTTGTAACTTCAAAATCGAAAATACAGTAAAACTTTTTGATTAATTGTCTCTTTCAACTACTTCCATCTTTCAATCTATCCAACATCTTGCAACAAAAACCATTAAATAGCCATTAATAACCAAAATAATAATCTTTGTTCTTCAGAAGATAATAATTCAAGAAATAGAAATCTAAGTTAAATCTTTCTCTTAGATTTTATTAAAGAAAATTTATCAAGAAAGAAATAATTAAATATAACAATAAACAAATATCTACAATATTTTTCACAGAAACAATATATCAATAATAGTCATCACTACAATAAATCATTTAAAAAAATTAAATTGTCCAATTGTCACAAGATTCTTATTTATATATAGAATATTTTCAATTTTACCATTTAAGCTATAAAGATGCCTCAACTATATTCGGCGTGGAGTCAATATCGACAATAACAATATTTTCGCGAAATCCTGAGTCATTGTTGGCTACTCGTACAAGTCGATAAACAAAATTTCTCACAAACACATGGTAGGAACGAAGGAAAGTGAAAAGTACAAACGTTGGGCAATTGCAGGTTGACTTGCTTTGGACTCGGTCGCGATGGCGTAATTTGGCATTCCAATATATCGTATAGTGTCCTCTACCAGAACAGTATTGCAGTTAGGCTTTGTGTTACAGTGAAACGATAGTATGACTATGAAGCCTCACCTATGCAAAGCGTACCTTATTTAACTCGTAAGACTCATTAATTTCTCGTACATCGGCATAAAATACATAAGGAAAACTCGTGTTGTCCTTTCCTATACAATGCACGTGACTCTCCCTACTTCATTTACATTTGAGGTTATCTTCGTCGATTCTTTTCCAGGATATTCCGCAACCATTCAATTCGTTTCGAATAAATCGTGAGGTTAGAAAAACTATTCATTCATTTCTCTGATGCAGAACAATTTTATACCTAAATTATTTTTATATTTTTTTCAAATTTTAATTTGTACAGAATGTTTCAAGTGATATATGCGAGTAGGAAACATAATTGTTATTTTATACTATCGTAAAAGATAATTTAAAATATCTTTTTCTATTATAAATTAATAAAAAAATTAATTTATTTCTATCAATTCGAAAATATTTCTAATAAAATCGAAATCAAAAAATTTGTATTGAATATGCATAAAGTTTCTATGTCAACATTGAAAAGATGGTAAACTTGAATCGAAGATGGCAATTTTAAGGTTAGATCGAACAAATATTGTAGATATAAATGAAATATTTATACAAATGAATAACTTTTATACAAATTCTATTTAGATATATATAAAACTGTATTTAAATATAAATAAAACTTTAGTAGTTAATTATAATTTATCCCTTAATTATAATTTATATGAACAAAAATTTTATTATATGAACTAAAATCCGATCATATAGCTGATTATTCTTGTTTATTATTACGATAATAAATCACATATCATTCAGTTATTCAATTTATTATTGTCATATATAATTTAGATTGTGAAAAATTCTAAATAATTAAATTCCAATATGTTAAAGATTGAATTATTAAAAAAATAAAATAAAAATTATAGCAATGTAGTTTTGTAATTAAATATTTCGATGCCATTTATTTGAAAATATATTATTTCTTTCTTTTTTCTTATTCTCTTATATATTTCTATTCTTTTTTCTTTCACTATATATCGCTGTTTTATCCTATATCTAGTCCTATATCCTGGCATAAAATAATGATAAGACTGAATCATTGTAATTTAGGCAAGAAATTTCAATTGGAATTTAAGCAAACATTATTGTATTTTTAAATGATATTAATAAATTTTCAGGAAAAAAGAATATAAAATTCGACTCACCCTTATATATGTATCCTTTTTTCGTTTACAGGTACAATTCTTTCTGGTGTTCGTACATAGCGCCCAAGCTTTGGTATTCGATTGCGGTTATCCAAAACTAGTAGCGGCACTTTTACTGCTTCATTCAACAATCTTCTTCATCCTTTTCTCAGATTTCTATCGACGAGCGTACAATAACGACAGAACGATGAAGGAACTGAAGAACGATTAAACACGATGGACATTATTATCCCAAATTTACCTCCGATACATTTCAACACATCGATCTTTTGATCACGCATATATGTTCGATTATCACGAATCGATTATAAAAAAAATTTTCAAATTTTTGTAAATTATTATTTAATTATTGTTAAAATTTTGTATCCTCAAAAAATATAAAAAAAATTTTCGTATTTTTTTTTTTGCAAAAGAATATAAATAAATATAATATAAATAATATAAAAAAAATATAAGAAAATATTTAAGAAAGATCGATTCATGAATTCGACCATTTGAAAGATCGAAGTGATTATTCGATCGGAGTAGAGCTTATAGATTCCTTCCGTATGGAAGAAGATTATATATTTTACATATTATCTTATATCCTCCGCAGGATATCTCAGGTCTCGCGAAAAGCTCAGACCAGGGCTTTCAAAGCACTTATTTTTAAGAAAATTTTGACCGATTATGTATTCAAGGTTATCATTGAAATTTATATTTTTGTTAAGAAGAATGAATTAAAGTTTTCACTAAAAACAATCAAGTTTAATTCGTTTTATAATACGTATTCATATGAAAAAGTAAGTATATGAAAATGAAAAAATATATATATATATAATTCGATACATTGATCGGTCCTTAGTGTCGTTAATTTACTTTAATGCACTTTTTACTTATCGTCGGATTTGTAATTAAGATTTACTGTAAATATATAATTAGTTTTAGTAAGCACCGCAAGATGTCATTATTACAGTTTTATTTAATATACTACTTGTTTTGAGCTATTTGTTTTATGATAAATATATGTACAAATGAATTTTTTTATCTATTTTTCAGAAGAAAAAGAAAAAGATTAATTCCTTTGAAAAAAAATACTTAATTTAATAAACATTCTAATGTATGTAATTATAATGGCTCATCTCATGAATTTTCAAGCTCAATCTTCTGTTTAAATTTGTATGTATTTATATTCTTTTATTATATTTTATTGTTATTACTTTTATTACTGTCACATATTTGTATTGAGTATTTAAAGAAACTTCATGAATTATAAATCACATTTTTAAATATATATTCACACTTGCAACATATGGAATAAATAAATAAAAAATAGTAAAATAGTGAAGTGATATATTTACCTTTATATTATTTCGAAAATTATCGCGAAATTATTATATTTTAATATCTTATGTATTTCTGACACAATACAGTAAATGCTAAAAATTACATATTGTTGAATAAAAACAATTGGCATCGAAAGGATAACATATAAAGATATTGATAAGGACAATATTGACACTTGTACATTTATTGAAAAACATATAAATACTGCACAATGAAGTTTCTTGAAACTACTCATTAAAAATTATCACTTGTTTCATTTTTTTTATATAAGAAAACGACGAAACGCTGAAACATTAATGAACAACTTCTCTGACAAATATCTTTTCTTTATCCGGAAATCTGTCGAATAAAGATACTTTCTACCTATTGATTCTTCTATAAATTCATCCCTTCCAAAGAGATGACAGATATACTTATCTCGAATCTACAGGTAAAAAAGACGAATTTATCTCCTAACAATGTGATTATTTTTTTAGGGATCAAGCTTCACTTTAAGTTATTTATATACGTGATAAAATATAAGCGTAAATCATTTTGTAAATATGTAATTCTTTTATTATTATTTTTTTTTTTTGTAATATGAATAAATATTGAATTACTTGCACAATATAACCTATCCTTAATATATAATCATATTAATGAAATATTAACGAAATGGAGATAGAGAGAGAAAGAGAAGTAAAAATTTTGAAATTCTTGTTATAACATAAAATTTTAATAACAAATATAATACTAATTTCGATAGTAGTTTATTTATATAGAGAAATAAAATATTATTTCTTTAATTTAAAAACAAAAATTATAAAAAAATTATTAAAATTAATATAAATTAATATAAATAAGAAAAAAAATCCTGTTTAACATATCTTAAATATAAATATAAAAATACAAAATATGAATAAGAATTATTATAATAATGAAAATATTTACATAATTTTTAATAATTTATATCTTAAATTCTTTATTAATTGCTCTTTCACAATCTAATCTAAATGTATACATGTATACAATTTTGAATAAATCTAAAATCTAAGCTGCTGCTTTCAAAGCTTCTTGCCTATTGCGTTCTCTAACGAGAAGTCTACGTTCTCTTTCATATTCTTTCGCTCTTAAAATATAACTGTAACATAAATTATAATTAAAAATTCTTTATAATAAATATCAACCAATAATAAAAATAATGGCAATATTTCTTATAATTTAATTTAATTTTAGTTCTTATAAGTAATTTAATTAAGACTTACTCATCATATTCACACTTTTGATAATCATGTATTTCTGTTACACAACGGGTTACAAAAGGGAATTTTTCCATATAACACCGGATATAATTTAAATAAAGATGAGCACAATAATCTCTTAAATCATGTGGAATTTTAGCAGCTATCATATCTTCTTCTGACACAGGCATAACTGTAATGTAACATTATAACTAGATATAATTGTGTGTATAATAATTAGACATATATAATTAAGTAATATATGTATTTTTTTTAATATTATATATCCTATTATAATACATAATATATAATATTATAATATTATATATTTAAATAAGAATATATTATATAATAATAATAATAAAATAAAACTGTTTTATATATAACATATTTTTTACTTTTTATTACTCATAATTTTATATGTTCTCAAAAATAAAATTTTTAATAAAAATCATGAAAATTAACTTATAATAATTTCAAATATATGATTATGTCATTAATGGATTATTTATAATACGAGAAAAATATTGAATACTCAAAAAATAATATTATAATGAAATGCTAGCAAAAAATTAATAACACTATAGAAGCAAATTTTAAATCATTTACATAATTGTGTAATAAATAAACATAGCACATATAAAATATAAAATATCAATAACTAAAATAAACTTATTGAAGGTTAGGTTCAATTAAAATACTTGCCTCTTTGTTTACGTTGTCCGGAAAATCCGAACATCGGATCAAATGTTGGTTTTTCCGAATCCGGAAAAGGATCTGAACTTATCGCTTTTTGTAATGTATTACCCATTTTATTAATATAAAATTATAGTCGGAAAAATAACATAGAATCAAGAAAGTGCGAATAACGCACAATACCGACCTCTGGTGATACTATATTATGTAATTTAACATAAACAAATAATTTATATCAAATATAAATTTTCTTAATTATTTTTACAACATTACTAAAAAAATTATTCATTTACAAATTCTTATATGTATAAAAAACATTTACGATGTTTTTATTATATATTTATTAAAAATAATATTGTTTTACATGAGAAAGGAATTCACACATAAAACAATTATCTTTTTAATCATAAAGTTTATTAAAATCTCACTGAAATAAACATATATATATATTAAAAATAAATAATAATATATATAAAATTTATAATTATATGATATTATTTTTAAAAAATCGCTTCAGGCCAATTAGGGAATTTAATAATTTTATTTTTTGAAATATTTTTTTTTTTTAATGTATTTGTGTAGCACATACTTTCTTATTAGCTTAACAAGCTCTTTTTAGTTTCATCTATGATCAAAGTTTCATCTAGTTTCATTTATATAATCAAATACTTACTTATAATAATAGAAAAAATTTTTCTTGTTGTATTTAAAATTGAAAAATATAAAATAATTCAATCATCTTCTTCTTCCATTGCTTCAGGCATTGTATTTCCTATAATAATAACCATCAAATATTTTCATAATCTAAAACATAATAAATATATTGCATGAATTTTAATTATTTTGTATTATACCATTTTGTAATCTATCTTCACTAGGCATATGTCCTGCTTGAAGTAATTTACTAAGACGCTGCACTTCTTCAAGGGAAGAAGCATTTGTAATAGCTTCCCTAATTTTATTTCGTTCTTCTGGAGTTGTTAATGGTTTGTCTATAGATGTTCCAGAATTTTGTGTTTTTACTTTCTTTGCTATTTCACGAACCATTTCTTTTCCTCTTTTACTTCTAAAATATGCAACTGCAGCTTCACGTTCTTTCATCTTGATTTTTCGGAAATCTAAAAGTCTCAATTGTGGAAATCTATATACAACATATTGTCTATATTGAGGTTTTGCGGAAACTGGATTTTGTAGCAAACATAGATTAGTTAAATTTTTTAATTGTGTGAGTGGTTCTAAATCACCAAGTTCTTGAATCATATTTCCAGTTAACATAAGAGTTTCCAAATTTGGAATACAATGTTCTAATCCTTCTCCAATTCTGACAATACGATTATTATTAAAAAAAAGAGTTTTGATCCTTTTTAATAAAGGAAATCCATCTAATTTTCTTATATCATTATCAGAAAAATCAATAGTGTCAAATTGATCCTGAAAAATTTTTGTATATTATGTTCTATTTATTTTTTATTTAATTTTTTTTATAAATTGTAATAATTAAATACATATAATTAATAAAAAAAAAATTCATTAAATATTATTCTAAAATACTAACCAAAGTTGCGCCCAAATTTTCAATTGTAGGTATTTTATACCCTGAAATAAAAAATTACCAAAATATTAAAAAATTAATGACAATTTTTAGGTTATATTTTGTCAATATAATTCATACAAACCTCTAAGATCCAATTCCCGATCTTTTACAGGATTAATATATTGCATGGATTGTTGAATTAAATCTGGTGTTAATTTAACCATTATTTAATAATATTGTTTATAGAATTACTAGTAAACAAAATTGTTATAAAGGTTAACCTATTTGCCTCAATACTATTTCGAAGATTTAATTCCCTGTACAGCTATCGTTTTCATGTAGCATTAGTAAACTTGATTTTATACAATACACAGTTCAGGGAAACCAAGCAAATAATAAGAAAAAGAGATAGAATAAAAATTCAGCGCCATCTTTTGAATATTGAAAACATGTTTTTAAAAGTAGGATAAGATAAAATAGGAATTAACAATTGATGCCATCTATTGAAATGATATTGAAAACATCTTTTTAAAAGTTCATTTTATATAAATATATTTTATATAAATTTTATATAAATATAAAATTTTTTATATTTATTATATTATTATTATATATTTTTATTATATTATATATTATTATTTTTTTTATATTATTATTAAATTTTTATTAATTTAAATTAT